GAGCCCCTCCCACAGGCTGCAGTACTTGAGGGTGTGGGGTAGGGGAGGGAGTTGGCACCCAGCTGTCCCTGCCTGTCACTCTCAGAGAACCTGCTTGGATTCAGGGGCCCTGGAACCCCCACACCATATGCTTCCACCTGCTAGCTAGGGAAACTGAGGCAGGGGGCCTGCAGATGACAGGCCCAACCCGTCATGTAGGTGACAGGCTGCTCCCCCTGGCATGTCCTGAGGTGCTTCCCTGCTAAGGCTAGTAGCACACGTGGTGTGGGTGGACCCCACATCGAGGGTCTGTCAGTGGCCACACACGCATGAGTGTGCCAGCCACCATGGCTGTGATACACAAGGCCGTGAACACCTCCCAGGTGTGATGGGGAGCCCTGGTGTCCCGGCTCGTGGAAGGAGGAGGCCCCGGTCCCAGCCTGGCCACTCACCTGGCCTCTAGGGGCAAGGTTGGGAAATGGGGCAAGAGTTTAGGAAAGAAAAGCTCTCAGTTCCCCTTTGGTGTTTTAGCTGCCCATGCCCACACAGAGGGTAAGCCCTGGGGGTTCTTAGGGCTACAGGGTGGTGCCAGCCGTCTGGGCCATGGGTCTGGGAGCTCATAGGCTGCTCCCTGCAGGGCCGGCTCCCAGGCCTCAGGGTCAGGTACGTGGTGCTGGTCTGGCTGGGCGTCTTCGCGGGCAGCTGGCTGGTGTATGTACACTACTCATCCTACTCAGAGCTCTGCCGAGGCCATGTCTGCCAGGTGGTCATCGTAAGTGTGGGGTCCCCAGAAACCTGGCGGGAGGCGCGGTGCCTGGGCTGGAGGTGGACGGGGTGCAGCAGAGGCTGTGGGGAACGTGCTAGCTGGGGTGCTGTAGGCCGAAGGGGCCGCAAGATGTGGGGAGGGTGTCTTCCCCAGCCTGGAGGGAGTCCCTGCCCACTGGGTCCAGGAAAGGAGGCCGCAGAGACCCCACACCCTTGCTGGGGACAAGCTGGGGGTGCCACGGTCCTGGGAGGATGTATGCTAGAGCGTTCGTGTGTGCAGGAGCTCACAGGTGTTTGGGTGCATGTGAGCAAGTAGTCACTCAGGTATGTGCACGCTGAGGTCACTGCCACTCCTTGGGGTGCCCTATGACAAGGGGAGCTGTTCCAGAGGTGAAGCCTGTCTGGGGGCCCTGGGCAATGGCCTTCCTCCCAGAGGAGGCCTTGCCACTGTGTGGGCCAGGGCCAGGGCCAGTGGCACTCAGGCTGGGCACTACATAACCCTGGCTGGTTCTGCAGAGGGCGAAACAGACCAGCAAGTGAGGGGACTTGCTGAGGGATGGGACGGGCAGCGGGCGTCCTGAACACACTGCTGTGCCATCTGTGCCAGCCCCTCCCTGGGCCTGGAGAGGGAGATGGGGACCTGGGACCAGGGTGGGATCCACTGGGGGCCCAGGCCCGGGTGCGCTGCCTCCCTGCAGCTGCTGTGTGGCCACCAGCAGTGCTGCCTCCCGTGGAGAGACAGCCCTGTTGCTGGTGCTCGTCTGGCGTGAGAAGACCCCTTAAGGAGGTGGCAGACCACACGTGTGCTTTGCCTGTACCCTTTCCATTGGGACAAGGAGCCATCATTCAGGTTGCCCTGCCACCCTCGGGGCTCAGGGGGCAGGGCACATTGCCTCTGGTTGGCCCTGCTGCCTCCTGCCCTCGGATGGCAGCATTCGGTACCTCCCCTCCCCCACCTGCCCAGCTCCATAGTAACTGAAGTGTGTCCAGGGGTGCATCCCCACCCCAGATGTTCTTGAGGCCCTGTCCAGGGGGGTGCTGGGCTGATTTGCTTACTGCTGAACATGACTCCCTAGGCCTCTGGCTAATAATGTGGCCTGGGGTAGGCATGGCAGGAGCCACAGGCAGGGAAGTAGTGGCCCCGAGCTGTTTTCTGAGCTGACAGTGACCAGCAGCTCAGCAGAGAAGGGCACGGAGGGTGGACGGGGGGCAGTGAGGCCTGGCTTGTCCTGCACATGGGATGGGACATCAGGGCCAGGTCCATCATGTGGGCTGGGCCAGAACAGATGCCCAGGCCAGGATGGAGCAGTTTTGAGGGCCCCCAACACTGGGGAATCCAGAGACCAGCCGGGTTGCTTGTGGGGACCTTGCACAGGAAACAGGAAGTACTTTACATCAGCAGAGCCCATGTGGCTTCTCTGACGTGTCCAGTTGCCTGCCTGAGAACAGTGCTAGCCCTGGGCCTGGCCTGGGGTTGCCCTGGTATTTCTGAGCCTGGCCTTTGCCTGCTGGGCAGAGAGGCCTCAGTTCTCCAGTTCTGCCTGGAGACCTGCTGTCACAGTGGCCAGGACTGCAAGGTGGCCCAGCGGGCAGGGTTGCCCTGACAGCAGCAGCCTCCATGCATACCAGGACATGGGTGCTGCCAGGGGCAGGGTGCCAGCCACCACAGAGCAGTGGAAACCACCATGGCTAAGGCCTCAGAACCAGGTCCTGCGCAGCTGGCAGGCACAAGGACTTCATCCCAGGCGCCCTGGACTCCCACCCTGGTGGCCTCATTGCCCCGTGGCACACCCTTCTCCCAGGGGCTCGCTGGGTCTTGGACCATGGTCACCCTGAGGGTGGGGCTGTGGCCACTACCTGTGCCCCAGCCAGGCCCTGTGTCTCCAGTGTGACCAGTACCGCAAGGGCATCATCTCAGGCTCCATCTGCCGTGACCTGTGTGAACTGCGCACAGTGGAATGGCGGACATGCCTGTCCCCAGCCCCGGGCCAGCAGGTACGAGGGCAGGGCTGGGTGGGCCTGGGCCACTGCGCCCACCCCGGGAGGGGTATCTGCAGAGAGGATACCCATGGCCTTATCCAGGTGTACAGCGGACTGTGGCAGGACAAGGAGGTGACCATCAAGTGCGGCATCGAGGAGGTCCTGAATGCCAAGGCCCAGCCAGAAGTGGCTCCCCGGCGGGAGCTGGTGCTGTTTGACAAGCCCACACGGGGCACGTCCATCAAGGAGTTCCGGGAGATGACCCTCAACTTCCTCAAGGTCAGGCTGCGTGCCAGCCTGGGAGGGGCTGAGAGGCCCTGTGGCAGGCCTCCTCCACTGTGCAGGCAGGAGGCAGGGAAGGGGCCTTTCCAGGGCAGTGGGGCAGGTGAGCTGGCAGAGCCTGGGCACAGCCTGGGCACCTCGGGAGAAAGACTTGCCGCCCAGGTCTCCAGGCAGCAACGGGGCCTCTCTGGGGCCCCCTAGTATGCAAGGGCAAGATAAGATGCCAGGTGTGTGCTGGGTGGGGGCTGAACGGAAGGGGTCCTGGGCCAGGGAAGGTTGTGGGCACCTGCTGGGTGCTGCTGGCCCCGAGAACCTGGCAGGTCTGTGCTCTGCTGGCAGGGCGGAGGTCTCAGGTCCTGAATGACTTGCTGTCCCGCCCCACCAGGCGAACCTAGGAGATCTGCCCTCCCTGCCGGCGCTGGTCGGCCAGGTCCTGCTCATGGCCGACTTCAACAAGGACAGCCATGTGTCCCTGGCCGAAGCCAAGTCGGTGTGGGCCCTGCTGCAGCGCAATGAGTTCCTGCTGCTGCTGTCCCTGCAGGAGAAGGAGCACGCCTCTCAGCTGCTGGGCTGCTGCGGGGACCTCTACCTCACTGAGGGCATCCCCCACGGCTCCTGGCCTGGGGCCATGCTGTCCCCACTGCTGCGCCCGTTGCTGCCACCTGCACTGCACAGGGCTATGCAGCAGTGGTTCGGGCCCGCGTGGCCCTGGCGCGCCAAGATCGCCATTGGCCTGCTGGAGTTTGTGGAAGAGCTCTTCCACGGTGCCTACGGGACCTTCTACATGTGTGAGACCACGCTAGCCAACGTGGGCTACACGGCCTCCTACGACTTCAAGATGGCCGACCTGCAGCAGGTGGTGCCTGAGGCCACCGTGCAACGCTTCCTGCACGGCCGCCGCTGTGAGCAGAGTGCGGACTGCACCTACGGGCGTGACTGCAGGGCCCCCTGCGACCGGCTCATGCGGCAGTGCAAGGGTGATCTCATCCAGCCCAACCTGGCCAAGGTGTGCGAGCTGCTGCGGGACTACCTGCTGCCCGGCGCGCCCCCTGACCTGCGCGAGGAGCTGGGCAAGCAGCTGCGCACCTGCACCACGCTCAGTGGGCTGGCCAGCCAGGTAGAGGCCCACCACTCGCTGGTGCTCAGCCACCTCAAGACGCTGCTCTGGAAGGAGATCTCCAACACCAAGTACTCCTAGGGGTGCCGCACCCGACCCAGACCCACTGCTGCCACCTCCCCAGGTCCCTTCACCTCCGACTGACCACCTGAGCTCCTCCGTGGGACGGACCAGAAGGGAGGGGCACTGCCCACCCTGGGCCTGGAGAACGCGGTGTAAATAAACGGCTTTGTGATGCCTAGCACGTGTGTACTGAGCGGTCACAGGGCTGCATTGCCAGCCTGTGGTGCTGGGGTCAAAGGCTGTTCACCAAGTCCCTAAGTGGCCCCGCCTCAGCCTCCCAGTGCTGGGACCATAGGTGTGTCTGCTCGCTCACTTTTTTCTTTGTGGTGGCAGAGATCCAAACAGGCCTTTTGTGTGCTCCGTGCATGCCCCACCACGGGGTTCTATCTGAGTTCCTGTCACCTCTGACTGAGCTTAAAATACAAGTCCGATACAGAGAAGCGTGCTAACGAGGCAGTAACAGATTTATACAGTAGAACTGGGCTCGGTCCCAGCACCCAGGAGGCCGAGGCAGGACCACCTGGACCACACAGTGAGCTCAAGGCTAGCATGAACATAGCTGGACCCTGTCTCAAAAGCCAAGCTGATTCTAGTTAACAGACACCTGTAACTTCATTTGCCCTGGAAGTGGCCAAGTGGCTGATGGAGCATCGACAGGCCAGGTGTCCGTCCACACTGCTTGCCCAAGAGGACCCAGGCAGGAAAGGCCCTCTGCAGCAGGCTCTTGGTTCCTGTCTTTGCCAGCACAGTGACCCTCCTGAGAAAGCACACTGAGCCAACCTTTTAGTTCATTTTATTGCAATTTCTTTTTCCAGTATTGAGGATTGAATTCAGGACCTCATGCTTGCCAGGCAGGTGCGGTGCCACTGAGCTAAAAATCCCGCCCTTTGGTTCATTTTAACATCTTTTGCTTAAGACTGCAGCCATTCCCAGGTTTCAACCACAACTTCTCCATGCCACACCGCACCTTTGCTTACAATTCATTCTTCCCTGTTTTTCCCATCTTAGGCAAAACAATAACCAAAACCAGGATGATCCCAGTCAGTTAGCTCAGAACTGTTCCCTGGCCTCCCCTGCACACTGGTGGGGCAGCACCTGCGGGGCACGCTACCCAGTGACACACTGCACCGCCACACCACTGGGTCTGAGCATGGAGCTGCACTCGTGCCTGCCTTACCGGCCTCAGGGCTGGGGGTCAGATCTCTTCCTCCAGGGGCTTGGATCTGGAAAAGGAAGAGGGGTGGGGTCAGCACAGGCTTATCGTTCCTTCCACCTGGATTCACCGGAGGATGCCAGGGAGTCCAATCAGGCACAGCTCATTTCGCCAAGAGGATCCAGCAAGGTCTGGCAGTGCTGACTTCTGGGACCACGTAACCTCCTGGGAACTGCGGGTCATGCTGCAGCACCCCTGGCCTCCACCCAGCCTGGAAGGGACAGTGACCCACAGGGGCCCCGAAGAGACTGCACAGCTGTGGGGAACCCTCAGGGGCCCGGGCCTCACCAATAGCACAAAGCCAGCGAGAGCCTCCGCTCTTCTCAAGGGTATCACGGCATGGGTCCATTCCCCCACAGAAGCCAGGGCACTGAGCAGAACACGGCGTTGCCTGTCAGCTCTGTTCTGTGGTTCTCAGGCCTCCCCAGAAGGCCACTTCCAGGAAAGAGGCCTGGGAACGAGACCCTTGCCTGGCTCCTCCACTGTCCTGAAAGCCTGCCACATAGCTGGGGCCTATCAGCACCCTCAGTGCCCAACGCACCTGCCATCCTCCAGAAATGTCTGGCTATAAACCATTCTTAGTGCTCACTGGTCTCCGAACACTGAGCGTAGAAATAGCCAGATGCTCTTTGCCCCGAAGTCACAGGAACAGAGTGGCTGTGCCTGTGGTGCTGGCAGGTCCAGGACAGCATCTGCAGGGCAGCCGCACAGCCCCCACAGCCAGGGGTGCACTGCAGGTCCCTATGTCTCTTCTTACCTTGGCAGCTCACAGCCGGTTCCCCTGGACACACCGAGCAGGCTCAGTCACCACCCGTCCTGCATTAAATACCAAAATATGAGTCCAGCAGTCCCCCCTTATTCGCAGGGGTCTATGCCAAGACCTGAAACCAGACAGCAGCAGACCGCACACACACGCCTTTTCCTACCTACTCACAATGCAGAACTGTACCTAATTCTACCTGCCAATACCCCTAACAGGCCCCCAGTGGGCAGAGCAGAGTGAGGATCACACCAGCACTGGGCCTGTGACCAGGAGGTCACCACAGAGATGTCTCCACCCACCTCCCAGGGGTACCAGAGAACAGCTCTCTTCAGAATGCGGGAGAAAGGGTGGCAGATGGGAAGAAATGCTCTGGGCTTTTCTTTTCCACAGCACTGGGTAGTAACCCCAAGGTCCTCACACCGACCTACAGCACCAGTGCTATTTTTGTTTTTGGTACTGGGGATTGAACTTGAGACCTTTCGCAGGTGGCACAACCATGAGCTAAATCCCCGGCCCTATATTCCTCCTGCTAATGCAGTTTTTATTTTTTGGTACCAGGGATCGACCTCAGAACCTTGCACTTAGGAGACAGGCAGCCCAGTGCAATTTTAGATCAAACTGCGGACCTTGCGCTTGCCAGGGACGTGGCAGAACCACTGAGCTAAACCCCTGGCCCGGCCCAGTGCTATTTTAAAACTTGAGACAAGGTCTGAGTTGCCTAGAATGAGCTTGAACCTGCAATCCTTCTGCCTCAGCCACCCAGTATTGGGACTGCTGTGTGCGCCTGCGCTCTGAAACTTTAAAAAGCTGCTTCTTCACACACACCTAGGAAGCTAGCTTTCGGATATGTATGTTGTTTCCATAAGGAGTTTCTGGCTTTCAACCCTGTAGCCTAAAGAGGAGGCTGCAGAGAAGTCCCTGCATGAATCCTGGTGGCTCCAAGGCCTCAGGCCATGCGGACTGCTGGGGGTTCTGTTCCACTCAGCCTCTGCTGGGGAAACTGTAGCCATCGTTTCCACTCAGTGCAACAAATAACTCACTTCCTAGAACCTTTTCAAGATCACTGCTTTCTATAGCTTTCATCGAGGCAACTAACAACCCCCTCCTGCAGCCAACCCTTCCACTCCCGAGGGTCATCCAGAGGGTAGCCTCACCCACTGGGCTTCTGTCAGTGTCAGGCTACTAATCATTCAAGCGTTCACAGGCCAGAACACTGAGCGTAGACATAGCCTCGATTCTCTCTGCCGCCTAGTGACGCAGGTGTGACACAACAGCCACGCCTGCAACGCCTCAAGGGGCAGGGCCAGGGGTCCAGACCACAGTCTATGTGAGCGGGGAACCTGCTCCAGCACCAACCTGTCAACTTATGTGAGATCCCCGCATATCCTATAGGGGCTTGGTTTCAGCAGGCAAACTCCCTAGGGAAGACAAGAACATCCTTCATGCAGATCTCCGCAAGACCACACACACCCACCACATCTGGTGTTGTTTAGGGACTACTCTGCTGCACAGGGTCTCCCAGTAGAAAAGAACTGCTTCTGGCTGCAAGGGGCCTTCTAGAAAGATCCACGTGTAAATCTGTGTCCCAGTATACTACCACGGAATCATGGCTGCTATAATCCACTGTCCCTATCCAGGACCCTATAGAAGTAAAGCATCCCACCCCAAATATGCCTGAGAAGCCATCCTTTGTGAAGACAACCCCAGTCCACCTCGCCTACCTTACTGAACTAAGTACCAAATGCACACAGCTTTTCTTCTGTTAACCTCCCCCTTCTGCCTTAGAAGTGACACCCGACCCAGAGATGCCCATGGGTGGCTTCACCTTTATCCCAAGGCAACCCTCGCTCCTGGTGCAAACCTTCCCGCCATGCCCCACAGCTGGGGCCGGTTCCGTTTTGCCCAGAAGCCCAAACCCATCCCCTTTTTTGGGTTTTTTAGACAGGGTCATGCAATGAAACCCAGGCTGGCTTGATCTCGGGCAATCCTCCCTCTCGGCCTCCCGGGTGCGCCTCCACGCAGGCTCCTTACCCCAGGGTTACGACCTTGCTCAGGGAGGCTGGGACTCCCTTACCCGAGCACCTAAGACAATTTGCATTACTTTCCTTATTTACCACCTTATTACATAAATAAAACCTATCGCTGCTTTCCAGGGGAAAAGGTCAATTACTCCTAGTCCTCCAGGCACCATTCCCAGGCTCACCTCCTCAGGAGCGCGGGGCTTGGCTCCGCCGCGGTGCACCAGGAGCGTCCTCCGAACCATGTCACCAGTCCTCCAAGGCCATCAAGAGGACGCGCGGGGCCGCGCAGCGTCCTTTATAGTAGCGCGGACGGCGGCCCTAGAGGGACATGCCCTTTCTCTGCAGCGCCCTCTAGCGGCTAGCCGCTCGTCGCTGGCAAACAGCCCACGTGCTGGGCAGAGAGAATACCAGTTTAGAGTCCCACCAGCCCTTCAAGACTCCCTGCCCTGCTTGCTCGACCTCCCCAGCGCCATCTGTGGCCAACCCGTGTGCCAGCGGCGGGGACACCGAGTGCGAGTCCCCCAGTGCATGGCTCTGCACGTTTCTAAACCACTTGGGTACCTTCCTGTCCATAGCCTGGGACCCATCAGAATCTTCTGCTTTGGCAGAGTGGGAGCCACACAGTTCACCCACTCATGCTTGGCCTGTAGCACACCTCAGGTGCCCAGTGCGAGCTGAGACTGCTTGGGCAGATAGGGGTGACCCATGGGTGACCCTCGTGATCAGAGCTTTCTGCCTGTTCCAAGCCGTAGTCTCCACAGTCCCTGAGAGCATGGTAGGGAGGGGAATTGAGGTCTCAGAATAAAGAAATACTCCCTGGCCACACGGTTTGCACCGGTAGAGGCAAAGCTGGAGCAGGAACATTGGCTCTGGACCAGGAGAAGGCAAGTGTGGGCCACAGAGGCCAGACGATGTCTGCAGTGCCCTGTTGCAGTCCCCACCTGGATTCACTCAGCATCATGACAGACAGGCAGGGCAGAAGCAGAACCAAGGTGCGGGGCTTCTCCTTGCTCAGCCCATTCCCTGGGGCCACAGGCAGAGGCCAGGGCTGCAGGTGCTGGGGCTGTGGTGCTGCTGGCTCTGGCTTGGCACTGTTTTCAGAGTGGACATGAGCTAGGACAGGGCCAGAGGCACAGAGGCGAGAAGCTGCAAGAGTACAGGTCTGTCTGCTGGCCTTTCCACAGGCGGGACACACCCCTCCACCTCACTGAGGCTCCTGGTTGGCTTCAGGCCCAGATCTAGCACCAGCTCTAGAATCAGCACCGGCTGCACAACTAGTTTCACAGTTAGAGCCTGTGCCAGGCCCAGAGCTGGGACCAACAGCACATTCCAAGGATGCACCACTAGGTGCTGGCACAGCACCTGACCTTGATTCTGTGCCAGAACCTGCTCCTCCTGCATTGGGCCTGACCTCCAGCAGCTGGAGCACTGACTCCCCATGGAGAACCTATTTCACTGCTGTTTCCAGAGCTACAGGCAGCCCAGGATCCAGAGCAGCCAGGAGCCGCAGAACCAGCCCAGCACAGCCTCCAACTGGAAGCATCCCTGGCAACCTCTCCGGTGCTGGTGCCGTCGGCATAGCGAGATCGAGTGAGGAAGGGGCCAGTTCTGTTTTCTAAAGAGCTCCAGAAGAGTCACCTCTATGCCCACTTTACCTACTTGGGCAAGCTCACCAGTGTGGGATCCGGTGTAGGCTTTTCTCTATTGAGAACCTGACAACTCTGGACTTGAAACAGTCTCTTTCCTTGTTATAAACTGCACTATTCAGGGTTGTCCAGAGACACAGGACCGACAAGCCATACAGAGAGAGAAAGAGCTTTGGGGGTAGATGACGGGTAGACAGACAGACAGACAGACAGGTGACAGGCAGTTGATAGGTGAAAGGTAGGTAGGTTTACATAGAAAAGGGGGATTCAGAGATTTATTTGAAGAACTAACTCTTACTGTCAGGAGGCTTGGAACCCCCACACCTGCAAGATCGACCAGCAGGCTGAAGGCTCAGGGCTGAGGGATGTGGCTGCTGGGGCCCAAGGCCAACTGAAGGCAGAATTCCTCTCCTCAGGGGATTTGGTCCATTTTTACTCCTTGACAGGCCCTCACTGGATAGACACTGTGGGCTCCTTTGAGCGTGGTGGCAGGTGGCATTGTCCTGGGGGGGTCTTGGACATGTGAGGCTGCAGCAGGGCTGCACATACACACACAAACACAGGCATGCAGTTCTCACAGGCTCTGTGTCACTGTTCACAGTCCACCCCTGCCTGGGAGAAAAGCACAGCAGTCCTTGGAGTCCTCTCAAAACTGTCATGCTGCCAGGTGTGGTGGCGAACGCCTGTGCTCCCAGCCATGAAGGAGGCTGGGAGGGGTTCACAAGTTCCAGGCCAGCCTGGACAACTTACTGAGACCTCGTCTCAGAAAAACAAAGGAACAAGGGTTTGGTAGCCTGCCTTGCAAGCTCAAGGACCTGAGTTTGATCCCCAGTACCACACACACACACAAAAAGAGGTAAAAAACAAAGGAACAGGGCCAGGGACTTAACTCAGTGGTGCTGCCACCTGCCTCAAAAGCACAAGATCCTGAGTTTGATCCCAGTTCCAAACAAAAAAATATACATGTATAATACTGTAATTTAAGAAAGAGATGCTGGGGATATAGCTCAGTGCCAAGGCCTGCCTGGGTTCAATCCCAGGACTACCAAACAACCACACACACACACACACACACACACACGCACATGCATGCACATGAGCACATGCAGAAACCAAAACAATACCACCAAAAAACTCATGGCTTTAAGCAAACTAAAAACCCTCCTGAGCATTTACTCTTGCTCTTCAAATTCAGCATTGTTTTTTGTTTTGTTGTTGTGGTGGGGTTTTGGGGTTTTTTAGGGGGATTGGTACTGGGAATTGAACTCAAGATCTTGCACTTGTGAGGCAGGCACAGTGCCACTGAGTTACATCCCTGACTGTTTGTTTTGTTTTTTGAGACTGTAGCCCCAGCCTTTCAAGTGCTGGAATTACAGGCATGCACCACAACGCCCAGCTGCACTGTGCATTTTCACATGTGTGACGGGCATGCCATGGAATGATGTTATGTGTCCTTTGCCTTCCTCTGCCCCTCTGGGAGGGGAGCTGTCCCATCTCAGGCATGAGGACACCGAGGCTCCAGTGGGAACAGCTCCCCAGGGAAGCATGTGCTGCCTGACCTCAGAGTCCATGTTCCTAACCGACAGGGACTCTGCCCCAGGCAGGACAGCACCACCCAGTGGCCTGGATCTCCTGCCTGCCTGGTCAAGCCAGGAGCTTCCCTGTCTGTCAGCTGCTGGCTGCGTGGCTTCGTGAGGTTCAGACCCCACAACACAAGTCCTCCCAGACTAGGGTCTATCCCTGTGATGTCCCCTTGAGGTCCCCAACTGGTCCTTGCCTCTGGCCTAATGCCGGCCCCCAGTGCCTCTTCCTCCAAGGAAGCCCAGCAGTGATGCCCTGTGCCTTTGGCTGAGGACAGAGCTTGCAGAGGCCCTGATGAGACTGGAGGGCTCCTGCCCCAAAGGGCCTAGGACTCAGATGCCAGCTTGGCCCGGACCTGGCCAAGGCCTGCCCATCCTGCCCACACATGCCCACACCATGCCCTCTGCGCTCTCCACTCCTGCGAGGCTTTTAGGAATCCCCAGCCCCTTCTGAGTGCTGCCAACTAAGGACAAAGCCCTGCAGGTCAGGCTAGGCAGGCTGGGAGGAGGAGTCCTCCACATCTCTGGGCATGGACAACAGGGCAAGGCCTTTCTCTGGGCCCCTTTCCCATCCCTCTCCTCAGGCCAAGAGCCTGCTGTTGGCCAATGCTTGGCTGAACTATGTGGCTCTCCACTCCCTGGGCCTCCTCTCTTCCCTGAGGCAAGGACAGGCTGTCAGGGCACCGTCCTGGAGTGCAGTGGGCTGAGCCTTCCCAGCACGGAGCACAGCGGTCATAGCACCCTGTCCTGACCCTGGCAGCCTAGTGTCCTGGGGAGGGCTCTTCCCTGGCGTTCCTGCCCTGCAACCCCCATAGCCTGCCACCTCCTCTCGTGCCATTCTGTGGTGTGTGTGCCTCTGGGACAACAGAACCCATGCACCTAGGAGAGACCCAAGGGTGCTTGTAGCCGGGGGTTCACAGGGGTAGATGGCAGCCCTGGGTATCCGGGGCTCCTAGGACAGGAAGGCCTAGAGGAACAGAACTTCTTCAGGACTCTGAGCCTGGCTGGGGCGGCCACCCACCCTGCCTGGCCCTGGGCTGGCGAGGATGCCTAGGGAGCCCCTGGAGAGACACCAGCTACCCGGGGTAGAGCCGGGTTCCAGCTCAACCGAGGGGAAGGAGTCTCAGGGAGTGAGCATCGGGGCCTGTGCCGCCCTGGAAGGAGGGCCGGGATCCACACCGAGCTCTGACCTCAGACCACGTCCTGAGGGTGGTGAAGGAGAGGATCCAGTGCTGTTCACCCAGGGCTTTCATGCTGTCCCAGGACGGGTGGTGGTGACATAGCTGTCCAGGCTGTGGGACAGGGTTACTGTGGCCTTGGAAATGTGAGGGCTGAAGTCTTCACTGCTAGGGCTTTCCTGCAGTTACTGGGGGGACTGAGCTGACCTTGGAGATAGAGGGTCCAGGGTCCTAGTGCCTCCCTGATCACTGCCCTGTCCCTGTCCCTGAGGTTCTCAGAGAGGAGGCAGCTGCCCAGAACCCAAAGAGGCTGTGGGATCTTCCGAGTTGCAGTTCCTATGGTCAACAGCTTCAGAGGTTGTGGCTGGTCCCCTGGTCACCTTGGCCACCGCTGGGCCAGTATGACAGGTGCCACGTCCCACTGAGACCATCTCTGTCACCCTCTTATTCCTGTGGGCACTCTGCTTGTCTGGGTGCACCTGGACCACTCTGCCTGTCACCTGGACACATGGGCCCCTGGGCTACAGGCTGGGCCTCTATCCCCATCTCCTTCCAAAGACCAGCCCCTGGCTTTGGTCCATGCTGACCAGGAGCTGGACTCCAAGTGATGGGGACACGGACATCAGGGACTTTCCATCCATAGACACACAACCCGAGAGCCAACATGGCCACGGTGGACCTTGCCTTCCTTAGCCTGCCTATGGGACAAGGGTAAACTGGCCTTGTACCCTTCCTGGGTCCCTGCTATGGAGTTAGAGGCGGGGTTACTAGAGGGGCGGGACCAGGTGGTCCGTGGGGCGTTGGGCGGGGTTACTGGAGGGGCGTGTCTGAGAGAAGCGTGGCCTGATGGTCAAGATTGGGAAGCTGAGGACCTTGCTGCAGGTGATCCGTCCTGGAGGGGCGTCCAACCGGCCTCTGCTGTTCTTCAAAGCTACTGGGATGACTCCAGCACGCGGCCAGAGAAAGAGTTTCCTGGTCTGTCCTTCCGGAACCCTCCAGGGCGATGCCCCCGTTGCCAGGCCCTAAGGGGTGGCCGCCCCTTCCCCACCTCCTGCCTCCGGTGGGTCCATTCCTGCGGGCTGGAGCCCCCTCAGTTCTGTGGTCCTCACAACCCTCTCCCCTCTCAGTCTCCACCCAGACCCGGGCCTGATGGGCGGTGCGCCTGCAGAAAGCGGCCATAGGACCCGCACAGAGCCGCCAGCCGCGGCCCCAGCCCTGGGTCTCATTTGTCCTGGCCAGCAGCACCCACAGGAGGCCGGGACGGGGCTGGGCCCTCGGTACTTTCTGCCCACTTCTCCGTCTGCTCACCCTGTCAGAAGTCCCCCTGGGGAGCCCAGGACCCCACAGACAGGCAGAGCCAGGGAACTGCTGAAGCTGTTTATTCAGGAACGGTGGAGGGGTACAGGGGTACAGGGAGGCAGGCGGTGAGGCTTGCTGGCCTGGCAGGAGGGAGGGTCTCCTCCTTCCTCAGGGAGAGGTTTCGGTGGGACCCCACGCTGCTTCGGAGTAGGAAAGGAGGAGAGGTCAGAGGGGCCAGGACAGGATGACAGGGAGCTGCAGGGGCCACACTGGGAGGAGAGGGAGGAGGCTTCACCACCCCCAGCTGCCCACAGAGCTGCACACCAGCGTGGGAAGGGAGACAGGTGACCTCTGCCAGTCACCTGGGGATGGGGGGGCAGGGTGTTGTTTGGAGTCTGCACTGCCGCACCTGTGCTCTGCAGCTTGAGGGCCCCAGGAGCTCTGAGGCCATGGCCATGGCTGCCACGTGACTTTAAGGCAACTCATGGCGTAAATAGAGTCATGGGGACCACTGAGGACCCCGGGGGTCTGAGGAGGAATTTTCTACCTGCCCACAGGAGGGAATAAGGGACGCTGGGGACAAGGGACAGGGACGCTGTCACAGCCCAGCCACTGCCCAGGAGCGACATCCCAGGAGGAAACGGGAAGCCATGCCATGGCCTGGGAGGCCAGGAGCAGATCCCATCCCTTCCGGCCAGGAGGGTCTCCCTTCCCAGACAGGACCACGGGGGACGTCCCAGCCAGCCAGGACGGGACTCACACATGTCCCTGAGACTCACCCTAGGCGCTTCCTGGAGAGCAGGCTTCCGCTGAAGAGAGAAAGCCAGGGTTCAGGGGCCCTGGGAATTCCACAGGACCCCGGGACCCTCTGTCAGCCAGCATTTCCCACGGCCCAGAGAGGACCAAGCAGAGTGGGCTGCACCTGTTCCCTGGCCTCCATGACCCCTGCCTACCCCTCTGCTTGGGGATGGAGATGCTGTCCGTCTTGAGGCCTCTGGCTTCTACCACCTTCTCAAACTCCGCCAGAGCTTCCTGGTTGACTTCGGGGTCTCGGCCTGCGGGTAAGGCCAGGGCAAGACCGGAGTGTGAGCAGCAGAGCGGGGACCTGCAGGCACCTCCACCCTGGCCTGGAGGATGGCAGCTCGCGCTGGGGAGGGACCTAGACAACCCCCGGGGGTGGAGAGCCTGGGTAGGACAGGAGCACCAGGGCGCCCTGGGCAGCCAGTGTAGACCCAGAGCTGCTCTCCCAGGGCGGGAGGGGGACGCAGGACTAGCCCTGGAGCAGCCGTCCACACCTCCTGCTGCTCCGCACTCACACACCTGGCTGGGAAGAGCTCCGGGACAGGTGGGAGCCACACTGCACCCCGTGTCTGTTTGGGGTTGAGCGAGCTCTCAACGGGGGCTCCTCTTCCCAAACCTGTCCCACCCGCTGCTGGAACTGTGCTCCTGGATGGCACTGCAGTTTCCGCCCACCGGTCCCTGGCTCATGCTGTGGCATTTGTGGCATCTGTCTCCCTGTGCCCACAGCAGCTCGTCCTTCCCACGGCAGAGACCTAGACCTGGCAATCTCCAACCCTGAGCTGTGGGGTGGGGGTAGAGCCCCTGAGGACATTGCCCATGGTGGACACCCCCGGACAATGCGACTCACCCACAAGATTCACTGTCCGGATCACGTGCTTGTGCCACGTGCTCTCGCTGTACAAGATGTAGTGGTGCTGCACGCCCGTCGGGATGATGTGTACCACTTGCTTGCCCCTGTCTAAGGAGGACAGTGGCTGTCTGAATAAGCTCCCCAAGCACCCAAGACAGCCAGCCCCCAGCCTGGCCAGCCCCTGGGCTGCCCTCCTGCCAGGATGCCCAGGGCTCTGGACCCAGGCTCTCTACCAGGCATGGCCCCAGGCAGGCATGGGGTCTTCACTTTTCAGGGTCCAAGCCCACCTGAGAGGCAGTCACGCCCCAAGCCAGGCAGACAGAAAGAATTGGAGCTGCCGGCAGAGGACTGGGCCACCCCAGCAGGAAATTGTTGGGCAGTCCAGATCCTCCTGGGGATGGTGCCCACAGCCAGGGCAGCATTTAGGGTCAAGTGTTTGGATTTAAGGCAAACTGGCTAGTGAAAGGGGAGGGTGGGCGTACAATAGGGTCAGAGGAGAGCAAAGATCTCAGGCCAAAGGCCACCAGGAGGTGCCAGCTGGCCCCATCTCCTGTGCATGGTCGCACAGCTCTGGGGAGCCCTGGGACTCACAGGCTGTGTATTTGCCCGGCTCATCTGTTTTCTCCAGGATGGCACTGATCTCATGGCACTGACCTCCGATCCTGGAAAACAGAGGTTGCCAGTTACCTCCCTGCTCACAGCAGCCCCATTTGTGTCCTATAGGTGCCCTGGGTCCAGATGAGCCCAAGAAGGAGCGGCCTTGCTGCCTCTCGAATCCAGACTACAGCCAGGTCCTCCGTGTCCCCTGTGGCAGCCCCTGTCATGCATCCTATAGGTGCCCTGGGTCCAGATGAGCCCAAGAAGGAGCGGCCTTGCTGCCTCTCGAATCCAGGCTCCAGCCAGGTCCTCCGTGTCCCCTGTGGCAGCCTCTGTGTCATGCGGTGTCCACACTTCCTGCTCTCTGCCAAAGGGAGCCTGGCTATGTGGGCTGTAGATGTCATCTGTGGTCACTGGCCAGTGCCCTCACCTCACCCTGCCCAGTCCTCTCAGCTGGCCTCTCAGGGACCAGGCCACGTCCACTGGCACCTGGACCATGGAGAGAAAGCTTTGGGTGGGGAATTTGGCAGGGGGGTGCAAACTCCAAGGTCATTGCCAAGGTCCCTGGCTGCCTAAAGGCCGATTCCCAGGACAGGAGCACAGACAGACGTCAGACAGGTGGGAGTCTCATAGATGTGAGAGAAGTACACGCATGAGCTGGGCAGATCCGAGCTGCCCAGGAGGGAGCGGAGAGAGGCAGGGGGTGGCACACAGCTGTGAGATGCAGAGGCAGGAACCACGCAGGTGGGAACAAACACAGGCAGGAGCCACACAGGGATGTCACAGGCCTCTCTGTACTGCCTGGCCATGCAAATCCCTTCCCTGCTGGTCTGCACAGCAGGAGTTCCTAGGAGGGGTTCAGTCTAGAGTCTGAGGAACACTCCCCAAGCTGTGATTCGGGGCTGGGAGTGAAACACCTGTCCGGAAAGAGCCTGTGAGGCAGATAGTGGCCCCTCAGGTGACAGGTGGGCACTGCCCTTTTGGCCCACTATATCTCCTCAGGGTTCCCGCCTCTCCCTGGGGCCTCCCCCAGAGGCACAGTGATCCCCCAAAGCCCCAGGATCTGAGAAGGCCCCCACCTGTGCAACCTCCTCCCAACAGCCTCCTGCTCTCCTGTGCAGAGAAGGGAAACAGAAGGGCCAGGCTGCCGTGTGACCCTCAGACACTCACAGCATAGTGAAGTTCAACTCCAGGCTGCCCCTCTCCAAGCTCTTGACGGTCATGGGGGTCACCGACAGAGACCCATCCTTTTTCCCGGGAAGCTCTGTGTCAGTGGCCACCGCTTTCAGGTACCACTTCCCCAAATCCTGGAGAAGGTGCCTCTGTCAGCCTCAGCTGACCCCCTGGGTTCTCTGCTCCGTCATCCACAGCACCCAGGCCCTACCTACCCCCAAAGGCTGGGGACCTGGAGCAGCCCTGCCACTCTGACCAGGCCCTCGGGGTGCCTGCTCCCCAGGGAAGGGAAGTGTGGGCTCTACCTCCCACCGCCCTCTGCACCCCAGGCCCATCTGCCCAGATGCCTCCTGCTCCGTATGACTTTCCCTCAGGCAGGGTTCTCTCCTGACCCTAAAGTGAGGGTCTCCATCCAGCAGGCTCGCCTCTCCTGCCCCCTGCAGCCCCCAGCCCAGCGGAGCCTCACATTCTGGCTCTCCTCCTCCACGACCGGGAGGTCCTGGGCCTGCAGGGCGGCAATGAGGCCGAGGCCGAAGGTCAGGATCAAGGTCTTCATCTTCAGGGTGTGCAGTCTGGCGTCCAAGTGCTCACTCACAGGCCGGAGAAGCTCTGCTGGGCCCTCCCTCTCTGGGCTGCCCTTTATACAGCTTAGAGGGTCCTGGGACTTGGCAAGCTGGACCAGCAGGTCCCTTCCTGGCTGCACACTTGCACACCGGGGCCAGCTCTGCAGTGGAGCAGGAAAGTGTCACACTTGCTGGAGCTGCTGAATAGCAGCGGTTACACCCCAGAGGGCAACAGGCCAGGGACAGCGTCCAGAGGGGCGGCTTGCAGAGCCCCACAGGAGGGGCGTATGGGGTGCAACCCTCATGTGTGGAGCCCTGAGGGTGTGTGTGGGGACAGTGGACCCCAAAGCCCACAGAGGGTGCTGTGGCAGCCAGAGCCCTGGGATCTGGCCTCAATGACCTTCCTGGCCCCTGGGCAGGTCCTGAAAGTTCAGGTTAGTCCTGGACCCGTTGTGTGGACAGGAGTGCGGGTTCACTGAGGGCAGGGAGCCCCTGAGACCCTGCTCCACTTGCAGAGCAGCAACAGCTCAAACACAGGGAAACCAAGACAGGATGGGCTTACACAGACACCGCACACAGGTGTGCACACACGCATACATGAGATCAGCAACAGGCCAGGAGCACAGACTGGTGAAGGGGCCCACTGGCCTCAGGACCAGAGGCCATCAGAAGGATGAGGACTCGTTTCCTGGGCACTGATGGGGGCTCCCTCTGCCCTGCCACACCCCAGGGGCCCTGCCTGTTACAACTCAATTGGGGGCTGCAGGTCCGGGAAGGGGAGATTAGAGGTGATCCCCAGGGCAGGAGCTGGGACAAGCTGTCCTGATGGGTGACTTCACCTGTGACCCTCCTGTGCCATGTGAAGTGGAGGTGAATACTGCACCTGGCCAATCTGGCTTGGATGGGACTTCCCACTTCTGCTCCTCTGCTGGCGCTGGAGAACTCTGCCCTGCACTATGTGCCCAAGTGGGGCCCGCAGGATTCCAGGATGAACATCCTCTAGGAAAGGGTTTTCATGCCTAACTGCCCTCTAACCTGTCCCATTGCCACCTGGCCCTGATGTTGCTCCCCAACCTCTGTGTGTGCACAGGTGAGTGTGCATGGCCCCAGGTGTGCCGTGGCCCAGAGCCTGTAAGTAGTGAAACCTCTCTGTCTGTGCCTCTCCTGCGCATTGAGCAGGCTCTCTCCAGTGGAGGGGGAGGAACGGGGGAATGGATAAGACCCAAATATCTGCATTGAAAGTGTTACTTTGCAAGGTTAGTAGGCACTGATAAAATACTTTTCAGAAAAGGAGCAGTGTGGGCAGGATATTGCTCTGGGGTACAGCTCTTGTCTGGCATGTGTGAGGCACCAGGTGGGGTCTGCCGCACTACAAAGACAAAAGGAGAAACTACACGAGTGGGGTCAGAGTCTCACCTGTGTCCAGAAATAAGATGGCCCTGAGAAGACTCATCCAAGTGCAGCAGCTTCACGGAGTGGAAAGAAACCCAATCCTTGAAGTGGAGGCCAGCTGGCTCTTGCGGGGCTGTAACAGGGTGCAGAAGGAAAGCGTGAAAGTGTTAACACAGAACTGGGGAAAGGAATGCACAGTGCCCCTGGCCTCGCTGTCCCATGCACAAGCAGACACAGGGCCAGCAGTCCAGGGCATCATCTCTATGACACCCATTTCCTGATCGTGACACCAGCTCTAGGAAGAGACATGGGAACGAGCAGAACCCAACACCACTCTGGCCTTAGAAAATCTGCAGTTTCATGTATTTGCTGCTGGTGGCACTGTAGGTGGCTTCCCAGCGTGCTCCCCACCATTCCCTCGAGGACCGAGGCCCTGGGGATGATGACCTCCCTCCCAGTTCCAGGGAGGGACCGGCCACTCTACAGTGTCCCTCCTCTGTCTGTGACTGCTCAGAGCAGACACTCAGAGCACCCAAGAGCCACAGCAAGGGACCCCTGGGCACAACCCACCCTGGGGACCTTGAGCAGAGGCAGGAAGTGCCCAGCACCCGTGTGACATCACAGAAGCCCGCCCAGCCCTGGACCTCAGCCTTGGGAGCCAACGCCAGTCCAGGCGGACTCAGCGGGTGAGGTGAGCACTGTGCCCGGTGTGGGTGCCAGAGCAGCTGTGCCGTGGACAGCGGACGGGTAGGCTGGTGTGGGTGTTGGGGAGGGAGGTGCTGGGCAGCGAGACGTCAGGGCCGGTGTGGGGCTCAGGACACCTTCAGACACGGCTGAGGTCCAACCACGAGGAACCAGGCCCTCGACAGCAGCAGGATGTGTCTTGAAAACTGCAGCAACTGACCTTTCAAACAGGAAAGGAAACATGTGCGTCTCACAATGCGTGGGCTCTCAGGCCCAAGCAACTGTGTCCTCCACAGCACCCGTGAAAGCCAATGTTAATATCAGGGCCACGCTGGCTGCACCTGGCTCGGTGCCTCACGGGGAAGTGGGTACTGGACAATGGGCGCTTCTCTGTGCCCGTGGACAGCCTCGTCCATATCTGTGCCACGCTGGCTGCGCCTGGCGTGGCCCCGCTGTGACAAGTGAAGCTGGGAGCTGGCTCAGAGCCCCAGCCCTGCCTGCCAGACGGGGTCCAGGCAAAGCCCACACTTCGGGGCCAGGTGCACATCCGGGACCTCGGGGGGGTTGAGGACCCAGAGCTTCCTCATTCACCACTCTCAGGCCCAACATCACTCAGTGCTGGGCCCACCACAGCAGGCAACAGGAGTTCTACACTTCAGTGAAAGTTTTTCTTAAAAATTCATAATAAATCCAATTTATTATGATGCATTGGAGTTTTTTGTTTTGTTTTGTTTTGTTTTTCAGTGCTAGAGATGGGGTCCAGGGCCTCTTGCATGCCAGGCAAGGGCTCACCACGGAGCCACACCCCAGCCCCGAATAAAATACTGTAAATAAGCAGAACTCAGCAATGCCAAGAGACTGAGGATCACAGAGGCAGCTGGAAGGAGAGGCCTTTTACAGGGTGACACCAGCTCACGAGTGCAGAGGGGAAGACAATTACAACCTCATAAGTAGAATTTGATTAGCCAAAGATTAGCTGAGTAACAGGTCTTAGTACAGCTTAAGTGTTTAAATGGCCCTGATTATGTGTGCACAGGGCTCGAGGGCATCGGCTCATCTCTGCTGCAAGCTGTGGCTGAAGTGATTGACCTTGGCTGGAGAAACCATGATGGTTTCCAACAAAGCACTGCGCAGTAAAAACCCACACAACCAGCCCAGGCGCCAACTGTGGATGACTCAGTCACCCATAGTCCCCTTTCTCTGCATCCAGCTGAAAAAGCAGCAGGGACACTACACCAAGATGGTAGAGACCAGGGGTCACCTGCCTTCCCTGGCCCCAGAGAGCCAGGATGAACACAACAGTCCTTCTGGGGGTCCCCAGTTTCAGCCCCTTCCTTTCAGAAATCCAGTGACAGCTGCCTGCCTGTACTGGACTCCATGTCTTGAGGGGTCAGCCCTTACTTTAGTGCCCTGAAATTTGGACCAGGCAGTAGAATTGAACCTGGACCAATCAGTAGGCCTGGATCAGCAGGCTTGTAGTTCAGACCAATTTGGACCAATCAGCAAGCTCAAATATTGACTAATCACAGGTTTGAATTTGGACCAATCACAGGCCTGTTGCTGGTATATAAGCAATACATGCCTGTATCTCTGTCTTAGTCTAGCAGGGCTTTGTCCAGTGATCTCAGTGCAGCTTCAAAAACTTTGATTGGAGAGGACCTGGCTCTGGTAGTCCTGTAAGTGTATAGATTTGATTCTCTGGTAGTGTGGGCTTGGACAGTGGTATAAAACTTGAGTCGTAGCACCTGTTTAAAATCTTACACCTTAAAAACAAAAAAAGATCTATAAACAGTAGGGGTTGTTGGCCCTGAAGAGAGCCAGAGACTGCTGCAGAGCTGCCCCTGCAGGTGTGTGCCTTGTGTATGAGTCAAGCAGAAGAACAACCGCGGGAGGATGATGCAGTGGAGGGTGCTGTCCCACCCTGCCACTCCCCCTTGGGGGGTTCTGTGGAGGACCCATGGCTCCCTGGGGTTTTCCTGTTGATTTTCTTGCCTCTCTGTTGATTGAACGTGTGGCCTCTTACCGAGGAAGGGACTTTGCAGATGGGGCTCAGTTGAGGATCCCGAGGGAAGCGATCACCCTGGACAGTGTGGGCGGCCCGTGCAATCACAGGGCTCAGGGCAGTGTTGGATGAAGACAGAAGCTGGGTGCAAACGAGAGAAGACCTGGCCCTGCCTGGCTGGAGCAGTGTGGGAGCCAGGAGCCCAGCCCCTCCCAGCTGGAAAAGAAGGTGCATTCTCCTCTGGGTCCTCAAAGAAATCCGGCCTTGCTGAGCCCCGGACTTCAGCCCAAGAAACACGGCGGGAAGGAGGAGGAGGAGGAGGAGGAGGAGCAGGAGCAGGAGCAGGAGCAGGAGCAGGAGCAGGACAGAGCTGCGCCGCCAGCCTGTCTCTGTCTTGGCAGCTGCTGAGCTGCGGCTTTGGTCTGGGCAGGTGCAAGACACGGAGGCCCGCGTGCAAGGTGGGGTGTGCGCATCTCTCCTGGTCCCAGGGGAGGCACCTCCTCAGGCTTTCTCCCCAGCTCAGGGAGGTAAGACTTAGAGCTATTCACCTTCCACACCTTGGGAATGGGACCTTTGGGTTACCTGTCCCCGCTTTTACTGAAAATTGGCTTTTCTCAGTCACTGTGTGCAGATGGCATTGCCTGTGTTTGCAGAGTGGGGATGTGGCATTTTGTCAATGAAAAGTGGACTGTTGGGGGGACATAGCAGGCAGTGGCTCCACAGTGACATCGCATGTTCAGAGCCCCCTTGGGGGCAAGGCTTTGGGGAACCCACTGGCATCTGTCGTGTGTGCAGCAGCAAGGCCCACAAGGACCGTGGGGTGCATGACTGCTTGTGACTGACTGTGAGCAGAAGCAGAAGTCGAAAACCAGAAAGACCATGTGACACCCTTAAAAACACGTGACTCTTACAGTCACAGGGTAGCAGCGGCTGAAATCTGACCTGGAATCCAGTGGTGTGGGGTGCACAGCTGCCTGGCGGCTGGATGGACCTGGCCAGGCCTCTGGTGTGATACTGGGCCGTGCAGCAGGAGACCTGATGTGCAGGGGGACGAGTACCCAGCATCCGAGCCAGCGAGCACAGGGCAGAGTGAGCCTCAGTCCCCAGCACCCCCTGTTGCCGAAGAACCCGGCCTCTCATCCCAGAATCAGCTTCTGAGTGTCGGGATGCGAGTGAGGGTGCTGAACCCTGGGGGACTCCTGCCCACAAGGGCCACATCAGGTCCACACTGCCCTGAGACAGTGTGAGCCCCACCAGAGCCAGGTCCAGGCAGGGCAGGAAGAGGCTAGACTGAGGGGCAGGGCGGGATCTGCAGTGGTCCCCCAGCAGGTGGTCACTGGGCTGATCAACCGCTGCCCTCAGGGACAGACAACACCTGAGGCTCATCTGGGAACCCAGGTCCCATGGGGTATGTGGGTTCTGGGGCTCTTTAGCATCAGGCCAGCACCCTCCCTCCTGTGGCCCCCATGGCCCCATGGGCCATATCAGTGCAGGAGCCCTGCCGGGCCCACACACCACCTGAAGCCGTGACGCAGAGGCCCCCTCTCGCCTGGCCCGTGGCTTCCCAAACACTCCTGCCTGGGGGAGGATCATGGGGGACCCCAGGTCACCAGTGGCCCTGAGGGGCTGTCAATGCTGGGCCCCTGGGGTCCAGGGTCTCCCCTGTTCCCATGGCTCCCCTCCAAACAGAGATCCTGGGAACCCCCTCGAGGCCCCAACAGGCAGGCTGAGCCACCACTGCTGCTGAAGTTCTTTATTGGGAGCAGGGTGGGGTCTGGGTGGGGTGGAGGAAGCCGAAGGAGGGGTGGTTGGTTGGGAGCCCTGGTCAGTGGGGAGGGAGAGCTGGGGGACGCAGATCCGGGTGGCTGCTGCGTGGGAAGAGAAGCCTGGTCAGGCCCAGACTCGGGGACCCGGCTGCTGGCCCAGAGCTCTTCCTCAGGGTGCTGGTTGGCCCCTCCATGGCTGCACCTCCAGGCCTCCTGGTGGGTGTGGGGGTGCTGGACAGTGAGGACCAGAAGGGGGGACGTCGGCAGGAAGGACTCTCCTGTCCTGGGGTCACACCCAGGCACCCCTGAAGTGGCACCGCTGCCGGCCCAGGAGTGGCCCAGCATCTGGACCTCAAACTCCAGAACCCAGGACCCTGGACTTCCCAGTGTCCTCAGCGGGGTCACTCACCCTAGTCTCGCTCAGGGACGCAGCTTTCTGTGGAAACCAAGGAAACTGGAGGTGAGGGGTGGACGGGGGTGCCCAGACCCCGTCACACCCAGCTCAGACCCTCTGTGCGTGAGACCTGAGACAGGGCTGGTGTCCCTGTGAGGGGACAGAGGGCACGGGGACACAGATACGAGGGACATGAGGACATTGGGGGCACAGAGGGACACAAGGGACTCAGAAGAACATGGGGATGCAGGGGACATGGATGGAGACACAGAGGGAAACGGGGACACAGGGGACATGAGAGAGACGCCATCAGAGCCGCCCGCTCACCCCTCTGCTCAGGGATGGTGATTTTCTCCTGCGGGAGTCCCTTGCGCTGCACAAATTTCCTAAACTCCTCCAAAGCCTCAGGGCTTTCCTCGGGGGTCCTTCCTGCGGGACAGGGGCCAGGTGGGGGGAAGCGGGACCTGAGAGGGGCCAGGGACGCTGAGGGGCAGGGAGGGAGGAGGTGGCGGTGCTGAGCAGGTCCCTGGGGCCCTGTCACCGAGCGACCCTGGGGCAGGGCGGCCCCGAGCAGTCCCGCAGGGTCACACGCTGGTCTGGAAGGACCCCGTGTCCTGGAGGGGCCCGGCCCTGTCCCCCAGGGAGGACCCCAAAGGCCACTCCCTTCCAGCTGGTTTGCCGGGGTCAGAGACCCCAGGAAGCGGCACCTAGCAGCGTCCGTGGCTGCAGCGCCCTCCCGAGTGGCCAGGCCCCCGAGGGCTGCGTCTGCCCTGTGCCTGGTGTCCCCGGCCTGCGACCCCTTCCCAGTCAGAGACGCTGTGCCCGGACCCCAGAGGGTGGCCCGTGGGCTTCTCCAGAGCAGGGGCTGGGGTCCCCAGCTCTCACCTATGAGCTTCCCCACACCGAACATCTTCTTCGGGCCCCGCTTCTCACAGTAGAGGATGTAGTGGTCCTTCGTGGACAGCTCCTCCACGTAGATGAGCTTCGCGCCCCCGGCTGCAGACAGAGAGGAAAGTGCTCTTTAGCGCCGTCCTTCCCTGAGGAAACCTTGGAGACCACAATGGGGGACAGTGGGGACGTGTCGGCATCACCCAGGGCACCTGCCAGCCGAGGCCAGGCCCTGCTGTGTCCCCAGGAAGGAACCAACCCAGCTGCGGACCTCAGATGTGGAGGCCAGGGACATGGAGGCTGGAGCCTGGCCCTGCCTGCTTTGGGGTCCTGAGCCCTCAGTTTCCCCTTGGGTCAACAGGGCCACCAGAGGGAGGCGTGGTCTGGTCACCCCCTGCTCTGGGCCAAGCTGTGACAGGAGGGGAACCTCAGGGGCGTGGGCACAGCAGGTAGGACTCACAGGAGATGTATTTGCCAGGCTCCTCGGTTTTCTGCATCAGAATCTCCTTCTCGTGGCACTGACCCATGATCCTGAAACAAGGGTGCAGGGACAGCTGTTCTTGGTCTACACCTGAGCCGACTCGGCTCACCGGGCATTGGCCCGACAGGGTAACCCAAACCCCAGCCCACCCTGCCCCAGCTGCAGGACGTGGCCGGGACTGTGTCCCCTCAACCTCGGGGGACTTTCATCACCGACATCCAAACTGCTGGCACAGGAGGGGAGCACGAGACCGAGGGTCCCCACGGGCCACACTCACATCAAGGTGACCCTGGCCTGCAGGCTCCCATCTTCGCGGGCCGTCATCGTTGAGGGGAATACCACCTGGAACGTCTTCGGTCCCGGCAGGGTCATGTTGCTCACTAAGGCCTTCGTGTACCAGGTCCCTATGAGCTGGAGCAGCCGAGCGTGAGTCCCGCAAGGCCCAGATCAGAGCCTCTGAGGCATGGGCTGCACCCCGAGAGCCAGCGGAGGTGGCCCTGCTCCAGGACTGGCCCTGGAGGGGTCGTGCTGCCCAGCCCCCCAATCTCTGACTCCTCCAGCCCCCCAGAAACAGCCCCGGTTGCCATCCGCCACCCCTGCCCACCACCCCCACAGGGCCTCACGTTCGGCTCCTCTGGCTGGAGGGACAGGGGGTCCTGGGCCTGCAGAGCGGCCACCAGGCCAAGCAGCACGAGGGTCGGGAGCAGGGTCTTCATCTCCAACGCTGTGCTTGCAGCAGAGCAGGTCCCCTGGAGTCTGGACGAGGCTGCGCCGGCTCCTCTCCGGACGCCCTTTATGTCCCCTGCCACCAGGGCCAGCCTGCACTGGGTGCTGACCACACCCCTCCCTCCTGTCCCTGCAGGCCAAGTCCACATCCATCACGATCCCGGTGGTGCTGTTATTGTTGGGATCTGATGAATAACACCTTAGTGCTGCTGGAGATAAAGACCATGGTGCTGCTCAGTGCCTGCCCTGCCCCAGGCCCTGCCTATATCCAGCCGACCCATCTACAGCTGCCTAGACCACCCCTAACCCTGACAGACTCACCCTGCCCAGGTGTCTTTAACCTGGTGAGACCCAGACATGCAGGAGAATTCATACACACCGAACTGCCAGTGGTGACAGTCACTGATCAGCCTGGGTGAGGCTGATCACTCCTCCTTCTGGGTGTGGGATCTGATGCTTTCCATTCTGTCCTCAGAGGTCCTCAGGAGCACTGAGTCCCTGTTCTTCACAAGGGCACCTTTCTCATTAACATGCATTTTGTCAAACTTTACACCTTCCAAATCTTATTGTGTCTCTGACTTCTGTCCTCTAGAGGTGTGAGAAAATACATTTATGTGAATTCTGGGGTTTGTTTTGTTTATGTGCTGGGGGTCAAACTCATGTACATGCTAGGGAAGCACTCAACCACTGAGTTACATCCCCACCCCTAAAACTCTGGATTTTTAGTCATCAGGTTTGTGATACTCTTATAGTAGTCTTAAGAAGCAATATAGCTGGCATGATGGTATGTGCCTGTAATCCCAGCACTCAAGTGGCTGAAGCAGGAGGATCTCTGAGTTTGAGGCCAGTATGGCTACTCAATGAGTTCAAGCCCAGCCTGAACTACATAGCAAGACCCTGTCTCAAAAAAAATGTATATAAAATTGCTGGGTGTGGTGGTGCATGCATGCCTGTAACCCCAGCACTTGGGAGGCTGAGGCAGGAGGATTGCTGTGAGTTTGAGACCAGCCTGGGCTACATAGTGAGTTCCAGGTCAGTTTAAAGTACATAGTGAGATCCTGTCTCAAAAAATAAAACAAAACAGAACAAAATATATATATATAAAATCACTGATGTATTAATAGATATATTAAATGTAAATGGCCTAAATATACTAATTAGAAGGCAGTGATTAGCAGAATGGACTAAAAACAATGATACAACTAAGTATATGCTGTGTCCAAGAAAATGTTTATTCCAAGAATGGAAAACTGGTTTGATGTTTTTTTCCTCATTGAGTTTATTGGTACATTTTAGGTATACAGTATAGTTATATTCATCATTGGGATTTTGTACCTTTACATGACAGGTCTTGGTTCTCATTTTTTCCCCATACCCCTACCTTCCCTTCACCCTGGTTTGATATTTTAAAAATCAGCCTTATTAACAAGTTAAGAAAAAAAATTCACGTGATAATATCAACCAATTCAGAAAAAAACATTTGACAAAATTCAACACCCATTCAGAATAACAACTCTTAGTAAAGTAAGGATAAAGGAAAAAAATTTTTAACTTGATAAAAAGCATCTACAAAAATCTACAGCTAACATTCTGAGTGCTCTCTCCAATATCAGAGACCAGGCTAGGGTGTCCACTACCACCACTTGTATTTAACATCGTGTAGAAAGTTCTGTCCAGCACCGTAAGGGCGGAGAAGGGCAGGGGAGGGGAGGGAACAGAATAGAAAGGAAGGGAGGAAAATAAAAATAAAATAAGAGAGATACAAATTAGAAAGGAATAAAGCTGCCCCTTTTTGCAGATTACATGATTGTCCATCTAAAAATGTTCAAGAAATTTAAAAACAAAGCAATAGATCCAACCAACCAACCAAAACAAATCTCCTAGAACTAATAAACAAGTTCAGCAATGTTGCAGGATGAAAGATAGATATACAAAAATCAACTGTGTGTTGACAATGGACACTAAAATTAAAAACAATCCATTTTCAATCATTTAAAAATTAAAACACTTGCGTGCTAGTCTAACAAATCATGTGTAAGATCTGTATGCTAAAAATGACACAATAATGATAAAGACATTTTAAAGATGTAAATAAATGGGAAGAAATACTGTATTCATAGAGTAGAAGACTCAACCTGTAAAGATGCCATTTTCCCCCAATGATATAGGATTTAGTGGGATCTATACCAAAATTCCAGAAGGAAATTTGTGTAAGTGGACAAGATTACTCTAAAATATATATGAAATGGCAAATGAACTAAAAGAGTTAAAACAAAATTTTAAACATGAAGTGGATGACTCAGCCCACCCAGTGGCAAGAGCACAGCTATAGTAACGATGACTGCCTGACAGCAGAAGGACAGATTCCTAGATCAAGGGACGGACAGAGCAGAGGTCCCTGAGACAGACCTGCATGAGCTGACCCACTGACTTCTACAAAACCGTGAAAGCAGTTCAGTGGAGAAAAGACAGTCTTGGCATGAGAGGCACTGGAGCAAGTGGACATCCACAGATAGAAAGAAACAAAGAACCTCAGCCTAACTCAGGCTTTATACAAAAATTGACTCAAAATGTACCACAGGTTTCATGTAAAACGTAAACTTAGAAAACTAAAAAAAAAGCTTTGGAATATGAAACTAAGTCAAGGTTTTTTTGTTTGTTTGTTTGGTATCGGGGATAAAATTTGGGACCTTGTGCTTGCAAGGCAGGCAGCGGAGCCCTTCAGCTGAATCCCTGACCCCCAGGGAGTTTTAGATACATCACCAAAATATGATCCAGAAAAGGAAAAAAATGTGACTGTCAGGCATGGTGGCTCATGCCTGCAATCCCAGCACTTGGACGGCTGAGGCAGGAGGATTCCCTGAAAGTTCAAGGCTAGCCTGAACTACAAAATGAAACCCTGTCTCGAAAAAACAAAACAAACAAATGAAAAAACTAAGTGGTCTTTATCAAAACAAAAACTTCTGCTCCACCATTTTAGGAGAATAAAAAGAAAAGCTAAGAAGTGGGAGCAAATAATACCTGACAGAAGACGAGCTTCCGCCCTGCATGAAGATCTATCAACACTGGACAGGCAAAAGACAGTTAGAAATTTAGCCTGCCTCGCAAGTCCTAAATTCAATCCCTGGTTTAAAAAAAAAAAATTAGAAAATGAGCCAAGACAAAAGGGTCATTTCAGCAAAGAGGAAAATCCCGCAGATGGGAACAGGGCATGAAAAGACAGCGGCAGCGGTTCTCATTAGTGAAATGCACATGAAAACCCCAGGGAGGTGTCACCAAACACCTCCCCAGGTGGCTGAAATAACACCACAGCGGCTAGCCGGGCCTGGGGGACCACGGAGCCGGGTGCTGTGCGCGTGTGTGACGGGAATGAGGCGATGTGCGCCCCCAACAGGGCGTGCAGGGATTGAAAACACTGAGCGAGCAACGGCCACGCAGCTCAGCACTGCACTCTGGCACATTTATCTCCAAAGGTGAAAATGCGTGTTCGTGCGAAAACCACACAAAACCGTTTAGAGCAGCTTTACCTGCAAGCGTGTGAGAGGCGGTTTAGTTATCATCGCACGTGTGATGAGGCGGCTAGCAGGAGCCAGGGCCTGAGAGGGAGCTGGGTGCTCAGCCCCACGGCAGGAGGTAAAATAAGAAGGCAGCGGGGCTCAGACCCGGACAGGGACCCTCAGAGGAACGGGTGCAGCCCCTCGCTGCATCCAGGGCTCAGGTGTGAGGAATTAATGACGCAACATGACTGGCTTTCTTTTCAACTCCCCGTGCTGGGAGACTGGTTAGAGAGCCTGAGTCCCACTTGGTCATTTTAAAGCCCCGGGTGACCCCTGGACCCTGGGCAGAGCCCACACTCTGCTGGTCCATAAGAGATTCCGAGCGAACAGAAAGCAGCACCCACTTTCTGGGACCCCTCCGCCGCCAGGAGCGTTCTCTCTCCTTGGAGTTCCACTGACACCTCCCCTGCCGCCCGCTTTCTGTCCCCGGTTTCATTCTTCCTATGGTAGGCGGCAGCCCAGCCTGTAGAGCCCCGGCTGTTTCAGTAGCGCCGCACTAGGAGGGCAGGGGCCCTCCGGCAGGTGCATGGCTAGGCGCAGCGGTCCATTCTACCACGGAGCCGCCGGGCAACAAACGGGGAGTAACTTTCACCCACGCAGCCACCCGGACGAATCTCCGGGAAAGATGCATCCCGCCGTCTTGTCTCCCCCCAGTTACGTCTTCCTCGTGAGCTCTGCCGCGACCCTGAACCACCCCTTACGGTTCTCCTTGCACTTGCATTGTTCATTGTTCATCAGACAAACTCTTCCTGTTCAGGGCATTGTGCGGCTCTCTCCTGATGGATCGCTGATTCATATAATTACATATCATTTTCATTAAAGGTCACAGAGCTAAGGGGAAAAGCAAATGGAACAGGTCGGCCGTGGCCGCGGGGACAAGGGGATGTTTGTGCTGTGGATGGCTCGGTGCGGGTCGGCCTCACCAAGGCCGCACTTGAGCAGAGGACTGAAGATGGCGGGGAGATGAGGCGTGAAGGGCCGGCGGGAGAGGCCAGGGAGGGACCTCGGTGCTGGCCTGGGGGACGGGGCCTGGCGTGACGTCTGCCCGGGGGCGGGGAGTGACAGGTGCGGGCGATCGCCCCACCATGGGAGGAGGGAAAGCGGCTCAGGACCTGTGACGGGGCTGTGTGCAGACACTGACCCCAGGGGACCCGGCTGCGACCCCTGAGCGCGGGAGACGAGGTCAGCCGTCCTCACTGCAGCTCGAAGCCGAGGGGAGAGTGGGGCCGGCAGAGAGGGGCCCAGGCAGGGCGGCCTTGCTGGAGCAGAGACCGGGGAGGGACTCGGGCAGCAGCACTGACCAGCACGGGAGACGGAGACTGAGAGGGACAGGCGCGGGAGGAAGAGCCCGGAGGGGCACAGAGGTCCTGCTATGACCCCGACACCAGGCCCTGGGGAGGGGAGACCGCGGCCCAGCAGGAGCCGCAGGGAGCCATGGCCAGCGCAGAGGAGCAGTGAGGGGCAGCGATGCAGGGGGACGGGACAGGCTGCTCAGCAAGTGGCCCCACCTGGGAGAATGGGGTGGACTTCAGTCCCCATGGGCGGAAACTCACTCAGCAGACCCAACCTCCGCACAGTGAACTCTCAGAGGACGGGCAAATCACTGTGGCCTTGGCCTGGTGAGGCAAAATCATATGCAACACCCAAAGAACAACAGGCCGAAGGAAAAACAGACGACTTGGACCTCACCAACATTTAGAGTTAGGATTAGTGTTAGGGTAGGGCACACGCCTATAATCCTAGCACTCAGGAGGCTGAGGCAGGAGGATTGAAAGTTTGAACCCCGGTCAAGGAAGTGAAATGATAAGATATAGAATGTGAGAATATTCTTCTTTTTTTTTTTTTTTTAGACAGGGTCTCACTGTGTAGTTGAGACTGACCAGGAACTTACAATGTAGCCCAGGCTGGTCTCAAACTCACAGCGACCCTCCTGCCTCAGTCTCCTGAGTGCTAGGATTATAGGCGAATAAAACACAGCTAAGGGGCATCAAACAGCCCCTTCAATACAGGCGGTGGGTTTGACAGGCAGGCTCTCCTCCAACCAGGTCTGAGATGGCCAATAGGACGGAAGAAGCAGCCCAGCATCATTAATAACTAGGGAACCGGGGCAGATCAAATCCAGGGGAATTGCCGTTTTGGCCCACCAGGATGCTAGAATTGAAAGCCAGAGGAGAACAAGGGCTGGCGAGGATGGGGAAGAAGCGGAACCCACGTACACCGCCAGCATGGACACAGCTACCTCACAACCACTCCCTGGTGCTCACCCAAGAGAAGCGGAACCGTCCCACAAAGGCTCGCACCTGTGTCAGCTCTTGGCCGGCTTCACCGGAATGCTGTCAGGTAGTTTCTTTAAAATGTGTTGCCAAGCACAAGTACTCCAAGTCTTTCTTGTCTCGAACAAAGAACTGAATGAGATAAGCCAAAGACAGCACCAAAAGTTTATTTGAAAACGAGGAGTGAAGGGGTAAGGGAAGAACTAGCTCTGCAGGGCGAACCTGAGCCAAACGAAGAAAGGAAAGAGAAAAAGATCAAAATAAAAGTGCGCCTTGGGTCTGACAGTGCACTTTTCCTGGCGTCTGATCTAGGGAGAGCCTGAGAAGCTCTACCTGTGGGTCCTGACCCAGGGTCTCTAACTGACAGGCCCCGCCCACTTCTCCAGCCAAGCCGGACAAGTGACTGGAGGGTGCTGTTGTGACATGCAGTACAGCGCAGGGGAACTGTGACCCGCTGTGTAAGGGAAGAAGCCACTCCCGAAAGACACACTGAGCGACTGCCTTGGGGGGCGTGGCCACCCTCGGCGAGTCCACCGACAGGAACAGGTTAGGGGCCCAAGGGCTCAGGAGGGTGACAGGGGTGAGGAACGGCTTGACTTCTCGCGACCCGGATGCTCTGGACGAGTGTCATGGCGATGGTTTGGTGGTGCTTGGCATGGCACCAAGTGAGGAGGTGAGAGGGGCCTGAGCACTCCTGCCCGGGGCAGCTCACCTCGAGCACAGGCTCTCCTACAGGCTGGTGATGGGAGGCCGGGTCCCCTGGGGTGGGAGGCAGGGTCCCTGCAGCACAGTGGCACTGCTGCCCCCCACGGCCAGCACTGCGTCCTGGCAGGAAACCTGAACTCTCCTGTGTGTCGTCCCCCAAGGCCCAGGGTGTGCAGGAGCCAGCCCTGTGTGATGAAGTCCTTCGGTCTCCCTCGCCCCACTTTTCCCTCTGCTGTCCCAGGGTGTCCGGTTCACTCCAGAGGCCTCCAGGCCCCAGCCAAGACACTGACCCCAGCCCACATCCAGTTCAGGACCCCGTGGCTTCACAAGGACGATCTCGCCCCAGCCTTAGGTTGAGGGGCCCAGGGCTCTCTGGGGTCCCCAATCACCAGGCTGCTCTGCTCAGGGGGACCCTCAACAGGGAAGCATGTGCCAGCACCACAGGGGCCCTAGGCCATCGATGGAGGACCAAGGCCACCAGAAACTTCCAAGAGCTGCGGGACCTGCATCACCCAGGACGAGGGTCCGATTCATAAGGCAGGACTGAGGCCTTCTCTCCTTTGGGCCCCTCCCTGAGGGGGCTCCTCCTCCACGTGACCCAATCCATGTGCTCTGGGCCCCAGTCTGTCCTCTTGGGCTGCTCTGTGGGTGTCCCCAGCCCAGGCAGACAGACCCTGGAACCCTGGGATCCCATCACTATGGAAAGTCCCCCCTCCATGCAATGGCCCTGGCTTGTTGCTAGGAGACTGGACACCCCTGAGCCTTGGCAGAGCTGCCTCGGCATCCCTTCCTCCCGTCACCTCCCAGGGAACCTGCTCCTCTGTCCTGGGCCTGTGAGTCTGTGCGTGTGCTTGCACTTCTGGGTGCACCCCATAAAGCAGAGAGGAAATGGAATATATGGGAGGGGCAGGTGGGGCCCCTGGATCTGAGGGCCTTCTTCCCCCAAGCAGACCCCTGCACAGAGCTGAGCCTGGCCTGGGAAGACAGAGCCCTCTGTTCCTGTCTGGATACTGCTTACCTCGGGGCCCAGTCAGTCCTTTCCTCTCCCCTGCCTCAGTTTCCTAACTGTTCCAGCGGGGCTTGCACACAGCTCCGAGGGCGTGGAGGCCTCCCTTCCCTCAGGCTGAAACGGGGCTCTCTCCGACCTCGCTCCCGAAGAGGGACGCCCAGCTCCGCATGGGGCAGCTGGGCCTCTGTCCACCCCAGGCTCCACGTGGGCCCTGCTGGGGACCCAGGCTGTCATGCCTGTGACCCCTGCACCTGGACAGCCACACTCCAGTGGCTCAGCAGGGCCAGCCCCAAGTCTGTCTCCTGTCCCCACCGCCCAAGCTGTGCCCCACAGCCTCGTTGGCCACTAGAAAGGGTGATGGTGACAGATGTCATGGTCTGCAGAGTCCGCACAGTTAAAAACCAAGGAAATATGCACTTCCTCTCTCAGGGTGTGAGCTGCCGAGAGGACAGTGGGGCCGGGGACTCACAGAGAGCAGAGCTTCACTTCTCACCTCCCAGGCCACAGCCCAAGACCCAGGCAGCGTCTGCCAGGCCCTTCTTGCTGTGTTCTGGTGTGGCGAAGGGCACGGGGACAGTGCTGCTTCCAGGGCCTCTTTGGGAAGGGTCCTGAGGCCGGCCACCTCCATGCTAGGATGCTGGGCTTCCTGGGGCCACGTCCAGAGCACAGGGGTTGCCGTGCAGAAAGAGACCAGCACCCCGCTCCAGACTCCATAGATGTCCCCAGTCGCTTTGAGGGCCTACACCCCGCCCACCCTGTCCCGCACAGCCAGAGGGGCTGCCGCATGGTGAGGCCAGGTCCGAAGTTCAGGAGCTGCTCCGGGCCTGGGTACAGGTTTAGGAGCCCCCGGGGTGGCAGAATGCACGCACGTGCCGGTCCCCGACATGAAGTGGCACAGCCGTACAACCACATGCCCTGCGTGTGACTCCCGTGCTTCAGTCACCTCCAGGCACTGGGACACGTTCTGCGCATTCTGGGAGACACGGCAAGAAAACAGCCTGCTCAGCTCCGTACAGGCAGCTCGTCCTGGTGCTTCTGACCCACGGCACCACGCAGGTGGCACCGAGAGAGGCAGAACCGTGGCCCAGCAGGAGGCAAAGGAGCGAGTGGGCCTCCGGTCAAGGCCATCTCAGCCTGCGTGGGCATCCACCGCCAGGGCTTCCCAGGGCAGGGCCGGAAGTGAGCAGCAGGTAGGTGGGGTCCCGGCTGCTGCTCAGGCTGCAGAGGTTGGAAGGGCAGGGCAGGGATGAAGCACGTCAGAGGCCCACGGGGACCTTGGCCTCTGGTCCATGAGCAGCCACCCTCTCCAGGCAAGGACAGGGCAGGGGCCTGAGGTCTCTGCAGGGGGGCCGGGGTGCTGCTTGAAGAGGGTCCCCGGATTTCATGCCCAACCTGTGGACGTGAACTTATGTGGAAACTGTCCCCAGAGGTGGCTGAGGCTTCCATGCTGGCCCCAGGAAAAGGGGACTCTGGACAGGAGATGCTGGGGGCAGAGACTGGGCCCCCCATGGAGTGCAGGTACCAGCAGCACCAGCACAGGCAGAGGCTCTGTTTCGGGCCGCCCAGTTTGCAGGTGTTGTGGGAGCCCAGTGCCTCCCATGCCGGCAGAGCTGGGGCTGCACAGGTCTGACCACACTGACCAGCTGAACACTTGCTCTGGTCTCCGCCTGTGGCAGGCAGCGCACCAGCTCCTCCCTGCTGCTGGGCTTTCTGTGTGCCCGAAGGAAGAGGCTTCCCGGCCTGCACATCCAGGCCCCAGCCCCAAACAGCGCCCTGGGCCTTTGAACAACTTCCCTGTCTGCCTATGCAGGAATCTCCAGGACTCATCCACTCCAGCCACACTTGTGGTGCGCCCACCATGGCCTTGGGCCACCTGGGCCACCAGAGAGCATCCGGCCGCTCCCTCAGCCTCCAGGCCAACTAAGTAACCACATGGAAGATGGATGTTCCGCAGCTACCCTCGAGGCCCAGGACCCTGGGAGCCCCTCCTCCCCTGTCAGTGAGCATGGTGGCTGGGGGGGCAGGGCACAAGTTTGCAGGCGTGTGTATGAGTGTGCATGCATGTGAGTGGGCGTGCAGCTGTGTGTGTTCGATGTGTACACTGTACTTGTGGGTGGTGGCGGCTGTTGCACTTGTGTGTTGTAACAAGATGAGAGTGTGCATGTGCCTACGTGTGCATGGGGCCTGAGCTTGCACATGTGGCTCTCCTCCGTCCTCCTCCCCATCCCTGTCCTTCCCCACTGTCCCTGGCAGGGTTAGGACGGAGATGGCAGCTGCCCTGGGCACTGCCAGCCCTAAAGGGGACATGGAGCCTGAGAAACCAGGACCAGGTGGCCACTCTCAACCTGAAGAGCTGGGCTGTGTGGGCGCTGGAACTGGAGGCCGCTGATCTGGACGCAGGAGTGACCTCTG